TGGTGGTGCCTCGGGAACGTGCTGGTAAATACCAATTACCAACATACCACATAGTATGGGGTTGACACCACCATGTAAGATTCTGACAGATGTTGAGGGGAACTGAGGATAAAGAAACGATTCCCCATCAGCCAACTATACCATCTTCCCATGGCAGCCTTATCTTTGCGGAACCGAGGTTCTACTATCTATCTTGCGCACTTGGTTTGTTCGCCCAACTCGACTGGGGCCTTCTGGCCTGAGGAGTCGACGAGGGGCCCACCTGACTTGCAACTGCGGCGGGGAGAAGAGAACAATGGATTCTGCGGGCGGCCATGGCAGCTGTCATCTCCATTCATGAAGAGGAGAACAATCGGACCCAGGCTCATCTCGATCATTCTCGATCGCGCCAATAAACAGTAGTCCCGAATCCATATATTCGAACTCCAGGAAGTTCCATGCCGATCGTTATCGCTGCCGCAGGGAAGCCGCGTCGCAAAGTTCGTTTCTCATCCAACCAAACATCCAGACCAACAGACGCTCAGGGTAGAGACACCAAATCTGCTAGTTCGTCAATAGGTCGCCGTCAGCCCTCGGCGCCTACATCCAAAAAGCACACCTCGCTAGATCAGCGCAGCAACAGCAGCGGCGGCGGCATGTATGAACCCCAAGCACATCCCGGAGTTCCGGCTTTGTTTCAAGAGCTGCCTTCGCTCCTAGATGCCCTGTGCACCGAGTCCTCTGAGGTCCAAAATGAGACCGTCAACAAATGTTTGCCCTTCTTGAAAGGCATTCACAACAGCCAGGCAGGTCCTTTCAACCGATTTGGAGTGCCAGCTCTGAATCAGAATGACCACCTTATCTACTTATACGATTCTTTGGAGGACTATCCAGAGGGCTTCGCTGGCATGGATGCAAGCCGGCCTTGGATGGTCTACTGGGTGCTGGCTGGATTAAGCCTCCTGGGGGAAGATGTCACCAAATACCGTGAACGGTAAGCAATCACTGAGCTGTGCGCTTGGCAACTGCAGATTGATCATGGCTGCTGTGATTTTGGCTCTCAATTGCTGTCTTTCTGTCTACGACCATTGTCTAAGTCTTCTCTTTAGTGTCGTTTCCACGTTTACGCCAATGCAAAATCCTACAGGGGGCATGGGTGGAGGCCACGGGCAACTGTCCCACTGCGCCTCTAGCTATGCCACAGTGCTCGCTTTAGCCATGGTCGGAGGCGAAGAGGCATTCAACCTGATCGATCGAGAGGCGATGTGAGTAGTTGCGGTACCTGACTTGAGCATCAATGCATGCTGACCTAGACCAGGTGGAGATGGCTAGGAAGTTTGAAGCAGCCTGACGGCGGCTTTAGGGTCTGCGCGGGCGGGGAAGAAGACGTGCGGTATTTTCTCCCGTTGCTTGCTTCGCATGCCCCTTTTGCTTTTTGCTAAATTTTGTCAGAGGCGCCTATTGCGCCATGGTGGTCCATTCGCTACTGAATTTGCCACTGGAACTACCCCCTGATGCCGAAGCTCGGCAGCACGGTCTGGAGACGTTTACCAGTGGCCTCTCGGAGTATCTGTCGAGGTGTAAGAGCTTCCACATCCCTAATCTTCCGGGCTAGACTGATCTGGCTGCAGGCCAAACATACGAAGGCGGCATTTCCGGAAGCCCCGGTTCTGAGGCACATGGCGCCTATACTTTCTGTGCTTTGGCATGTCTGTGCCTCATGGGCCCACCAGAAGTGGTGGTGTCGAGGTAAGAGGCTGCATTCTCATGTTCTCCCCGCTTCCGCTGATAACGTCAGGTGCATGGATGTTCCTTTACTCCTGAGCTGGCTTTCTGCTCGACAGTACGCCCCCGAAGGAGGGTTCTCGGGGAGAACCAATAAACTGGTGGATGGCTGCTACAGCCATTGGGTCGGCACCTGCTGGCCATTAGTTCAGTCTGCCCTCAATGGGGTCCAGTCAGCTACAGGCCCGGAGCGGGTCCCTGCCAATCTCTACAGCCGTGAAGGGTTAACCAGATATATCCTTGGTTGTTGCCAGTCCAAGTACGGGGGGCTCCGTGATAAGCCTGGAAAGTACGCAACTCCCTTCCTCTTCCGATCCCTTCCACAGTGTGGCCAGGCTAACGATAACTACTAGGCATCCGGATTCGTACCACACCTGCTACGCGCTGACGGGCTTGAGCTCGGCCCAGTATCATCATTACCATACCACTTCCAGCATCAGCTCTGATGAAGGCTTTGGTTCGGCGTATTCCTGGAAATGCACTCCCATCCCTGCCTCGGATGACACATCCTCCGACCAGAATGTATTCGATGAGAAGGACCGGTTGAAGGCCTTCCACCCGATCTTCGTGGTACCCCATGCGGCCGCAGAGAACCTGCGGGTATGGTGCGAGCAACGTCCAATCAAGCCGAAGTGGTGATGGGACGGGTGCCGATATCGAGCAGGGGAACTATATCAATAAAAAGTATATTTTGTACAGTACGACGCATGTAAGAATCAATTGTCCATAAGCTTGTGACACGCATGTAAGATAGTTTGGCTGGCCTCCGCACTGAGGGGAAGTAGGTTCCAGCCAGGAATCAGAGCATCCAGGAAATGGTAGTCATACAGATGAGATAGCCAGAAGCAGCTACCATGGATGATCAAACTACTGATTCCGTCTGCCTTGCGACGAGATCCGGGGTCAAACTGTTTGGTGCGACATCAGCTGCTCAGAGTTCGGCCACTTGGTGTCTTCTCCAGTAGACTTTTTGAAACTAGAAACGCCCGCTGAAACGGTCCTGGCAATGCTCAGACTAGGAACAGTTTTGACTGAACGTTCTCCCACAATTGACCCCATCCCTGGCGCCTCCAAGAATGAACACCACGATAAGTAAGAAAAGAACAAGGCGGCTAAGAAATAGAGGGGAAAGAAACCATGACCCGCCCTCGCTTCCACAAACATCCAAGCGATACATGTCACCATCGCGACGCGAGGGCCACCAGAAAAAAGGACGGACTTACACACCATGCACAGACACACTGAGCAAATATGCTGCAACCCGTCAATCAGCCAAATGAGGGAAGAAAAGGCAGTGGCCCAACGGGTGTCAAATTGGAGCCAAAGGCCAAATTCCCCGGGGTGGTGCTGAATAAGAGGGAGGAAAAGCCTCTCAGGTTACTCTGCAAGGTTAACTAACTAACCCTCCTCCATTCTCCTCATCCTTTGCTCACTTCGTGTCGAAGTGGCATGGATTCCCCGCCGCACGAAGCGAAATTGCCAACTCATCATTGCATCCGCGATGCCTGCTTGTCAACAACATCCAACGCCTCGACCAATCTGAGCTTGATCCACTCCAGCCAGTCTGGAGCCTATCCGGATTTTTCACGCGGCAGCCGATACATTCCAGGATGATTTGTGAATTGATGTCTGATAGCAAGAGGCCGGCCTCTAGGGACCTTTGTTTTTTGGGGGGGTATTTTCTACATTTGGGTCTTTGGCCCTCTGGAAGGATTCAAGTTCATTTAACATGAGGATTACTCAGGAGGCACCCGAGGAAGCGGTCTGCTAAAACTAAGGGAAGCGGATTCGGATGGCTTACCGAGTCGTCGAGGGTCATGATCGTCTCAGCATTGACCCGACCAGAGGGGAGAAAAAATAAGTTACGGTCGAGTCCAACGGGGATTTCTTCCATCATTGGTGGTATTCTGCTTCCCCTCCAGTAGGGACGATCGGCCCATGGTACAAAGAAGTCTGCCAGCAACCAATTCTCTCTGGTGGTTCCATGCCAGGATTCATCTGCGCGACATCAACCCCTTGTTATGTATCATCAATGTGCATTAGCGGGATTCCACGACGCCTCCTTCCTTGAGTCTTTCTCCCGTGCTTCCATTACGTTCGTTGCGACTTGCTTGACAGGGCGACAGTCGTTGTTCTCTCTACACACTGCGGGGTTTATGGATCCATCTCAGACCGAAGGATCGGGAGGGGAGGGGACGCGCAAGGAAAATGGAGGGAAAATAAAATTCACAAAAGGACCGCGCTGACTACGGACTGGCGCCTTCTAAGCATGCCCAGAACAACCGGCCCACGTTCTGCAGCAAGAATGGTAGACCGAATCGACCGATTTGCCCGGAAAGCTCTTATCCTGAACAACATGTCAATATGTTAGCCGCCTGGATCGGCGGCGAATTACACGGTGGCCGATGGGCCAGGACGTCCTGGATCTTTTTTGCGCGGGACCACTGGTGAAAAGCCATGCCAGCGCATCAGGGTTTGGACCGCGCTTGCCATGTTCCTTTCTCCAAGCAGAAAGGCGACAAGACGGACAAAGCTAGTGAGGTTTAGAACCGTTTTTGGGGGGAGGGTATTCGTCTATTGCCTTTCTCCTCGGCCAATCTGTGGAGAAGGTAGAATGAGCCGGTGGAGAGCCGTTCTTTTGATTGAAATGATGATTTTATTTTTAATTTTTCTTTTTGCTTTTTGGTAATTATTTTCTCCCCTACGGTGTCTCTCTTGTCGCTGTCTCTCTCTACCCTTTTCCTCCCCTTTGACTGGAATAATTATCAATGACCAGCCCCACCCTGTTTATTTGAGCGGACTATACCTGAGCCAGCATGATATTCTTCGCCTCTCTTTTCTTTTTTTTCTCCTGCCCTCCGCCAGTGTAAGGCATGCTGCTTGACTCTCCTCGGCCGCTAGTTCCTTCCCTCACGGTCCTTCGTACCCTTTGTTTGCATTGATCTATACTAGGCGTCGTCGACCGTCTCGGCCCGCTTGTGGTGAACAGGGCTCTTTGGCTATTGTAAAAAAAAGGAACCACACAAAAATAGCAGCATCCATTGCCCGTCATATGAGAGGCAGTGATTGAGTGATCATTGGGCACCAACCATCGCTGTCAACATAGACTCGTGCCGGTACCTTTTTGGTGTGACTGCCCAGGATCTGGTGCAGTCTCGATCTGAGCCGGGGCAACGAATACTGGGCCGATACCGTCCAGGGCTATACCTTCCATTGGCCGTTTACTGGTCTTCACGATGTACTATATTCTCTACCTCGCAAGTATGTAGATGATTTCGTTTGCCATTCGTCCGACCTCCCTCTTCCCCCTTCCTCTCCATTATGCCATTGGGTCAGATCAACGCCTCCAAGTGGCCATGCTCGCTGTTTTTCCCACGATCCATGTTAGACACCATGCATGCATGCATGTTGTGGAAAAGCAACAATGGCCGGAATCGAGCCGATGGCGGTGGTGGTTGTTGTTGTTCCTGACTCAAAGCGATGCGATTTCTTATCTACACCTTCTGTGATTTGTCGATCGCTCGGGGAATTTGCGTCCTTCGGAGCGACCGAGCGTTGACACACGATCCGATCGTCATCTATCCTTCAACAGCAGGTTACTAACACAGAATGTACAGGTCTCTGCCGACGCCGGCACTGGGCAGATCCCGCCTACGAATCCTATGCTGTTGGGGGCGGCTACACCTGCATCGTCCGAGTCAACAACCGGGAATACCAGACGGAGAACGTTTGCGAATCGAAGACTCTGGCTGAGGAGCATGCAGCGATGCGCGCGTATCTGATTTGTCGCAACTTCTCTGTCAACGACGGCATGTATCCTGCTGGGCATGAACACAGGGGAGGGCCTATTCAGGGAATTCCGGTCGCCATTGGCACGGGAAGAAAGGGACGCTATGGAGATGAGACGGACATGTCGACTAGTGGCGAGAGCAGAAGTGGTGGGAGCAGTCCGGAGAGCTGTGAAGGGAGATTGGATCGAAGGGGTGTTGGACCGACGAGGGCGCTTGCCTTTGGACAGTAGCAGGAGCTGGAGCAGATGATTTCCTTCGGGGGATGAGGGGATGGAAGCAGAGGGGATACTGGGATACATGATGATGCTACGATTTACGACATGACTTGAATACCAGATAGATCGAAATGCTTTTCTTTGTTCATGGAAATTGTTGGATGTCGCTTTTAGCGGTGATGGTATGGATATGGATATGGATGATGGAATTGGTCTTATGGGAACACAGAGATCGATTCCAGATAGTTTAGTTGGTTATATTTGGTTGATTGCATGGGTGGCCAGCGATCACTATCTTGGGTGGTGATTTGATATATGAGCGCTCAATTGATAACTTGTATACATTATGCAGGCGAAATCACCGACCACACCTACTACTAAGTACTGCTGCTGCTAAGGTACATAGTGGCGGTCTAGACCACCCACTACCTCAACATGAATCAAACACCACCACCAACCCTCCTGACCCTGACCTCAGGAACAACAACAGCAGCCACCCCAATGACGCCAGCCACCATCATCAACAACATCATAATCTCCTTAACATCCCAAATTAACCTCTGCTCCGCCTCCCTCAACCGAACAATAGACATGACACGCGTCTCCACAACAGCAACCATCACAGCTGACTCATCATGACGTACATCACCCAATTAACTGACTACGTTATGAAGTCTATCTTCCAAGGCACTTCTTCACCTGTAACTCTTATTATACCCCTTTGACAATTACATTCTAGATTAATCTTAATTTAAGCCTACCGATATTACAACAGTACCATATTTCCCCCTGATCCCAGTACAGTCCTCGGCATCTCCCCATCTGGTGAATATATATACATCACCTACTAAAAGGATAAAGAGCATATATGACCATCCACTTCCAATAGCCGATGACGTGACCGCAATGCGGTCAATTCTGGGTCGAGTTCATCGAGTCGGGCTTGCGCTTCCACTTGCGCCTAGTACACAATGGCACGCCTGCAGTGCTTCCCCTGCTATACTAGGCGCTGCGACAACAAGAGGGGGGTATAATGGTACTAGCACGTATATGCTACGTGCTGGCTGTGGTGCAGTCTACACGCCACTGGACCGCAGGTGGTTCCGCGCGGGAATCCCTGGCGGCAGTGGGATGAGGAACACCCGGACCAAAGAGCAATTGGAGAGATTGAGACTACGGGATCGCACGGGGGGTGTGCAGGAGGAGCAGAGGGAAGGAGGGGGGAAGTTGGAGGAGGCGATGACGAAGGGTATATCTCTATCTCTATCTTGGGGCTAAATGATAGGGATGCTAATGGGGTTGCTTATAGGGAAGCTATTAACCACGCCATCGAGGTTATTCAAGCTACTTATTCCGCTATCAACTGGGATTCAAGGAGAGCATAAAGGTGTGTTTTTTTAATCGATTTGATGTGATGTGGTGAATGGGATACTGACAATTTAGACATCGAACCAATCGCTATCCTCGTCCACCCCCAACAACCACTCTCCCACCTAGAACGCCTAATCCAATCCGAAGTCCCAGCCATCACAACAGAAGACGGCCAGACTCGCCCCCCAACCGTCTCCTTCATCGCCCTCCAGATCGAAGACCACCCCATCCGGCCCCGAAAAGCCGTCTACGAAGGCACCGGCGCAGAAGTCCACCAGCTCGACGAGATGGGTCGTATCGACGACGGCGAAGGCAAGCGAGCTCCCACCGAAGACGACACGTACACGTACCTACGCCGAACGGAGCCCAGCAAGAAGGGAGAGGGATCAGAAGGTGGAGGTGGCAAGAGGGAGCAGCGCTTCGTACGCTGGTCCCAATCCACCGAGATCGGCGACTTCATCCGGGATGCAGCGCGGGCGCGGGAATTCATCGTCTCCGTGGAAGGCGCACCAGCCGGGGTACATCAGATTCATGTGGCGGTGCCATCGTTCGACGAGCGGACGTACTTCCTGCGGATGCGACTGCGGAAGATCTCCGGACGGATCCAGAGCATCGCGGAGATCAAGCACGAGTGTGATGCGCTGGCGCACCGGGGTGCACAGCGGGTCGCGATGGGAGGGCTGGGGATTCTGGCGATGTGGTGGTACTTGGTGTATAGGTTGACGTTTGAGACGGATCTGGGATGGGATACGATGGAGCCGGTGACGTATCTGGTGAGTTTGTCGACGCTGATGGGGGGATATCTGTGGTTTTTGTACCATAATCGGGAGATATCGTACCGGTCGGCGTTGGATTTTACGATCAATGCGCGGCAGAAGAAGCTGTATCAGGATAAGGGGATTGATTTGCAGTTGTGGGAGTCATTGATTGATGAGGGGAATACGTTGCGCAAGGAGATTAAAAATATTGCGGCGGAGTATGATGTGGAGTGGGATGAGATGAAGGATGAGAGGGATGAGAGGGTGACGGAGGCGTTGAAGCAGGAGAGGACGCAGAAGAATGGGAAGAGAGGAAAAGGAGGTGATGATGAGGAGGATGGAGATTGATCTATACACACTGCCCATGTTCATGCCCGTTGCATTGCATTCAACTCAACCATTTCGAACAGGATCATAATACTCCTTCTTTCCACTGCTGGCAGCACCACCAGAACTACCACCAGCAGACACAGAAACAGAAGCAGAAGCACCACCATCATGTCTCACTCCCATCTGAGGAGAACTCGCCCGACCTATACATACATACAGCATAGTTAGCCAGTGTACATACATACCATCAAACCAAATACAACCCTTCCCCCACCTCCCAACTCTCAAGAGAATAGAAAGTAAAAAAGATAGAAATATACATACCTTCCTCCCCCCCCTGAACACCAACAACTCCCCTCCTCCTATTCCGATTATTCCTCACATCCCTACTCCTAAAAACACTATACAGCAACCACCCGGCGACCCAATTCGGCCCATACTCGCCCGTAGTCATTCCACGGGCAAACAACGGTCTGGTGAGGGGACTCGCGTTCCTCGCTATCTCATTTATGCCCCATCGCTGGCGCTCCGGACGGATGTGGTGCCAGAAGTAGGGCGGTTTGAGGGCTTTGTAGTTCTCTAGGAGGTTGCTGGGGGATTCGTTCAGGTGGTTGTAGGTGGAGATTGCTTCGTCCTGAACATATTTTCCATTTTGGTTAGTATGCGGGGTGAGGTAAAGGAGGGGAGGTTAGGGTATAGGGGATTGGGGATAGGAGATATACTCTCATGGCGCGGTAGTATTGCTCGTGTTGGGGGTCGTGTGTCGAGAGGCCTAATGCAGCCATGAATTCTTCTTTGCTGGCGCGGGGGGAGACGGACATCTCTCTCTTTCTCTTTTTCTTTCTTTTGGGGGTGGGTGGTGAGGGTTGGGGTTTGATGAGGGTGGTGAGGGAGTGTGGTAAGGTGATATATGTAGTGATATCTCACGCCACTAGGTACAGTAAGTATGTCCACTCAAAAATAAGGGAGGGATAGACTGTAAGGGTATATGTATCAACAGGGATAGGATTCCGGTTTCGTCTGCAGTCACACGGATTCCCGAGGGGACAGTGCTTGCTTGCTGCTTGCTTGGGTGATTGTTGATTGTACTCAGAAGGGAATGTTTCTGTCCCGTCGGATCAGCACATGTATGATCAATCATTAGACAATGTGGAATGAGGGAATTAAATGATATACTCTACACTCTTAAAAAGGTTTGCTAAGTCTAGTGTTATTGTCGTGTATACTACATAGCTTAGCCATCTGCAGCACAGCCGTTGTCTGCTAGTCACGGAATCAATTTGTGAGACTAAGAATCAATCCCATATGACCCACTTATCGCACTGCTATAATCATCAGATACCACCGCTGCACTGCCAGGGGCAAGAAAGATACCCGTCGTCCTACTCAGCTAGTGAATAGGTAGCATGTAGCTATCCGTTGGTTGGGACGGTACTCTATATGTCATGCTCTCTCGGATCATCCCACGACTGACCGACTGACGGGAAGAAGACGTAGTTTGTCTGACCGCAGCCTCGTGAGTAGTTAGTGGGTGTATCCTCTGAGTCATGATATCTGATATAGAATCGAACAGACACACGCACAGAATGCAGGTAGGCACGCAGGACAGGCTGTCCATGTAACCTGCACTTTTCCCGTCCAGCTTTGGAAATTGGTATGGATGGATGGTAGCACACCAGCACCCACAGTACGGGTGTCGAGGGAAGGAAACTGGATGGAACAGTCCCTCTGTATGCTCCGATTCCTTTTCCTTCTCATGATGGCATACGGTAGGGGCTATCAACACAACCCCATGATCACCTTCATCACTCCCAACCATCTGTCGTGCCACGGACCCTGTCCCATCCCGCCAGAATCCAAGTCGTGTCTGTGTTGGCTTTTCCGAGCCATGAACTAGGCAGCTAGCTAGTAGCTACAGTAGCTTCTGGAGGAGGAGGTGGTGGCTAACCCTACCAACCCTGGCAGACGCCCCCGCTAACGGACGGACAAACGCCCCGGTCTGGTTTAAAAGGGTCCTGTCTTCGACCGAAATGACAACCCGTCACTTCGTCTCTCGCCCCCAGAGGAAGAGAAATATAAAAACGATCCCGTTGATCGTTTGTAAACTCCATCGAGTCCTTCCTCAAGGGAAGAAGACTGTTGTTTGCAGACATCCGGGTGCCGCCGTGATCCGGAGCGGAGGTCGACGCTGGGATAATTCCAAGGATACAACAGGCACCTCCAGCTCATCTCCCGAACGTTGCTCAGCCTGGTCCTTGTGTAAAGGTGCATGTGAGGCAACGGTTGTACATACTCAAGTATGTCCGACAACCACGGCAGAACTCCCGTCTGGTAGCCCACGAACTTGCTACCGGACCCGATAAAGTCGACTCAACTACCACCTACTGATATCTATGTTCTAGGGAGGTCGGATGAGGTGATCGATGCCACCACCTACTCCCTTTCATCTGTTGTTCCTGAGCTGAAGCTACCAGGGGTATTTGCTCGAAAACGATGGTCGTCCAAGCACTCCCAGCCCCCTGGCAAGCAACGACTACCCGATCATGCCACAAGGCA